ATTAATAATTAAACCCATCTGTGCGGGCTTTCTAAACCTTTACTCTTCTTGCCTTACGCAAATTCTTGGCTCACTAGGATATTTAGAACTGATAGTTTGTTCACCTTTCCTAATTCCCAGCAAGCAATACAGTTGGGTAGACGTTTTTATAGGAAATTAGCACGCAGGTTTCTTTACTGACTTCTTTTGCCATTGTTCTTGTGGAGTGAAAATGATAATAATTGATAAATAATAAAGGAAATGTGATGCATAGCCTCTTGTGTTTTTTATGCAGACTTAAAAAGGGTGGCTAAATATTGGCTATGTTTACTCAGAAGTTCTTATCGATTTATATATGGTTTGTTGATCAGTAAAGAACTTGAAAGCAGCCTGCATTAATAAGCTTTAGTTTGATGCTCATCTATTATTGGAGAAAATGGCAAGTTGGGCAGAAAAATGCATTTAAAATAAGCATATGCTAATTTACCAGTGGCTTTCCCTGAAAGCCACATCTACCCTGTGAGCCACTGGCATTCGTATTTTTTTCCGGGTATGCGCACTTTCGCTATACTTGAAAATTATGCCCCTATAAGTGAGAAATAGCTTGTAATATTAACTACATGAGCCTTTAACGACTAAATTTTGTGCCATGATTAATAGGCATACCGACCTCACTATTTTTATTTATGTAGGAGCCTAATGCCTCTCGCTTCAGAATGATTCAAGTGAGCAGATGCGCTAGGCATTCAGTTTTAAGATAAAAATAAATCATTTTTGATCATTAATAACACGTTGCAGTGCAGATTATGCTTACAACACCTGATAAAAACTAGAAATGCACCCCCACTCAAGTCTGTCAGCATAAAAGTTTTGGATACTCTAGGATCCAGGTTCAGGCATTCTACTGCTTCTGTTGCCATTACCACGGAGGCAAAGCATTTGGACTTGCCTTTGCTGCCAACTAGTAGTGGCCTACAGTTCGGCTAACGTTTCACTTTTATTGTTTTAAGGTTCCAAATCCCGGGAAATGATTGCAGCGAAACGTGAACAGTGCTTTGTGCTGTCCGAACCTCTGAAGATTATAGCTAAAAAAGAGCTTAATGAAGATTCCAAGCAAATAAACGCCAACATTGTGAGCTTCAGAAGATGGATTAAAGCTATGCCTCATCTGACCGTGGACATAGGTAAGTTATTTCGAGAAGATGTGTCTAAAGGTGTAGTTAACTAAGGCCTATTTGAGACTTAAGAAGGTAAGAGGTCTTGTTAAAGCAGCGATTCGAGAATTCTATCAAGATTTAGCTCAGCTGTTGCCCTGTAGTGGAAAACAGTCTCTTAGTATTGACAAATCAGTAAAAATATATAGAAAATTCATTCGTTCTATTGCCTTATCGTGTAAAGGCTTGGCGCCGGAGGATTTCTGCCCTAACGCTGCCAATTTTCAGAGATCTTCCATTTACTCGGCAAATGAGGTAGGAGATGGAAATCTCATCGAGCATGTCTTCAATTGCCCGAAGCAAGTGTCACAGTTTACTCAGCGTTAAATAATAATTGCTGCTCACTTCCAGTGGACTGTTGTTGTGAGAAAAAATTTCCCACATATCAACTCCAGATTTAGCGAATGTAAAGGAGGAAGTCAAGCTTAGCGAATTTCGTGGGAAACCCTTTACCAGGTAGGTGACTCTCATAATGAGGCAAGGACGACCGGGAAAGCAGGATAACTCATCAAAGAACTTGTTAACGTCTTCGCACATCCATTTCGTCAAGCAGGGTAATTTCTTGAACCTCTCGTCCTTTTGAAAAGCTACAAATTAGTCGCCATTAGATTACGCCAGAGCCTTGAGAGACGGTGTTAACTGGTTCGTGTAATAATTTATTGATTATAAGATGTGTTCACTCTATTTCATTTAAGGTGATGGAGGGCGGGTAGTTGAAATTTTCCACAACAGCATGGGTACATCTAACGTTACCGTTGAATTTCACATAGCCTTGCTTCCCTAAAGGCAAGAGTGGACTTCACCTTCGACCTGCCTGAATCGGTCTCGTCAGAACCCCAAGCGGAACTCAAACCATATAGCGCAGTGTATGATCTCGACACGTTACAATGCCATGCTTCGAGTCCCGCTAAGGGGGCTGATGTGACCAATTCAGACGAGATCAAAACTTCAATTACCAGTCCTTCATCATCTTAAATTAAGTAGGGTGAACACATTTAAAAATCTTAAACGAAATAGGGTGAGCACATCTCATTATATTATCTATTAGTAGTCTTAAAAGCCTACTTCCGAACGAGAAATAATTTACTTGAGTTTGCACCAAACAAAATGGTATAAGCAGTCCTTATTCCCAGGACTCGTTTGAACTAATTCTCGTCATATTTTAAGGGGAAGTTCATGTCCAGCCTCCTCTGCCATAATATTCTGTACAGTCTCCAGCGATAGACTGTGAACTTGTTGCAATCGAACACGCTTCGCCAGCTTAGTAGCCGACATATTCGGTAAGACTTGTCCTTTCTAGCACCAAACCACATCTTGCTAAACAGATTGACGACGTGGTCGGAGTATTCCATGTTCATAGTCTGACGCAGGAAATCAATATGACTATGGCAGTAGAGGTCGGAGATGATATTACGAGGCCGAGATGACAATATGACAACATGAATGAGTTACGAAAATGAAGTAAACCTCTTCTATCAAGCCAAAGGAAAGTGCGAGGTAAAAAGCTGGCTAACTTCACCATTATATGTTAATTTTGTTTGAACATTAAATTAGCTGGAAAGGACGAATAAGTCGTCTACCCGACAGAATGGCCAGTCTCAGAATTCACTAATGTAGAGGCTGCCGATACTATTTTAATCTGGATTCTCAAAAGGTCACAATTCAGGAGCATGGGAGAGGAGAATACACCAAAATAGCGGA